TCAGCTTCTCTGCGTTCCTGTTCTCTGGTTTCTATTCCATTAATGGCCTCTTGCATCTCATCCATTCTGCTTTTAATTCCTTCCAGAGATTGTTTTATTTCTGTAGTCTCCCTCCCTACTTTGTCCATTAGGTCTTCCATTTTTCTCTGCAGCTCCATCAGCATGGTTATGACCTTTATTTTGAATTCTTTTTCAGGAAGATTGGTTAGGTCTATCTCCCCAAGCTCCTTCTGAGGGGTTGTCTTTGTTAGTCTGGTCTGTATCAAATTCTTCTGCCTTTTCATGGTGATAGAGGTAGTTGTGGAGAGTTGGCATGTGTGACATGTGGGAGAACATCCCTTCTTGCTAGTTTGTGGCCTTCTTCTCTTGGGAGAACAGCGACCCCCAGCAGCTTGTGCTGGGAAGCTGCTCACAGATGGGGTCTCTGATTCTTGCCTGGGCCACTGTGGAGGGAGCTCTGCGTGCCTGCTGTGGGCTTGGCCAGCCTCAGGCTGCTGCTCCGCTATGGCAGGGCTGCGCCAGAGGGGGATTGGTGGGAGGCTGTTTATCACTGTGAGGGGCCTCCAAGCTGTGCTGCCGCCCAGGGGGTTAGGTTGCCCAGAGTTTCCTGGCATTCCCAGCTGCTGGGCTGAGTGCACTGGGATGCTTCCGTCCAGCTGTGATGCCCCTGTCCTTTTAAGACTTTCAAAAATCACTCGCTTTTCTTCTGTACCAGGGACACTAGCTGCAGGGACCCCCTCCCAGATTTTACTGTCCTGTTTCCCTAGTATCCAGCTCACCACACACTGTGTGTCTGCACTCCCAGTGTGGATGACTAGGGCTGGATATTTAGCAGTCCTGGGCTCCCTCTCCCTTCCTGCTCTGACTCCTCTCCTCCTGCCGGGAGCTGGGCGAGGGGTGCTCGGTTTCCACCTGGCCGTGGCTTGCATCTTACCCCCTTCATGAGGTGCTGGGTTCTCGCATGTGTAGATGTTGCCTGGCTCTTGTACTGTATCTTCTGGTCTCTCTTTTAGGAATAGTTGTATTTGTTGTATTTTCAAAAATATATGTGGTTTTGGGAGGAGATTTCCACTGCTCTACTCACACCGCCATCTTGACTCCTTCTTGATGTTCGTGTATTTTTATATAAAAATTACATAATATCTTTGATGTCTACAGTATGTAATTTTTATTTTTACTTCATGATGCTGATTATTGCCAGTTTCAGGGGTTCATAAATTTTGTTGGTAATTTCAGAGAGTCATCTTTTGATATTGTTGACCATTTCATTATATTTTTCTTTCATTCTTTCTTTCCTTCAACTTTTTTCTTTTAGTTTTTTAAAAGATTGAAGTAAGCCTCAGTGATTCATCATTGATTTCCAGACTTTCTTCTTTTCTAATTATGCATTTGCAACCATAAATTGCCCTCTAAGCTTTTGTTGTATCTCCTGGTTTTCAGACCTTTTCCTCTCTGATTCCAGAGGTTGGAGGTCTGATCATTATACTATCCCACCACGAGGTGTAATTTTCCCAAAGAGCATGATGATCAAACCAATAGAATTAATAAGCCTTGGATGGATGAGTGTGAGTTTCCTAATAGGCAAAAGGTTTATGTTTTGGGTGACAATCAGCAAAGGCTTACATGTAATATCAAATGCCATCATTTTTATGTCTTTCTTAAAAACAAAGATTCCATTAATAGAGAGAGACAGGTTTTGATATGACAACTTTTTATAAGGATCATCTTTAGGAAAAAAATGTTTAATTTTGGAAATCAAGGGGAAAATTACTATTTTAGACATTTAAATTCCTACCTAGACCAAATGTTTGTCTTCTGTCTTGGGACTTATAAGATACATTCTTTTAGGAAAACAGCCAATTTGCTTGAAGTGAATATATAAATAATTTAGAATTTAGCCTATATTAAAATATCTATTTTTTTCTTTTTTTGTAGAAAATTTTTACTACTGGTGATATCAACAAAGATGGGAAGCTCGATTTTGAAGAATTTATGAAGTACCTTAAAGACCATGAGAAAAAAATGAAATTGGCGTTTAAGAGTTTGGACAAAAATAATGATGGTTTGTCTTTATTTTCTCTTCATCACCAGCTATGAAGAAGCACTTCTCATACTTGCAAGAGTCTAAAGCAATGTATATTTAGTGTCTCTTTTTTAGATAATGATTATTTCATCTAATGTTAATATTGGTTTTTCTCAGTCATGTGATTTTTATATAGAATTCAGTTTTTAGTGAAGAAAAGTTATAGATAGCTTTGCTTATTGAATTCAAAAGTGTGAGTAGGGCCATTTGTAAGATGTTAACAATATGGAACATTTCGCTCATCTGACTTAAAACTTTGGGTTAAAAATAATATGTTTCCTTGCGCTCTGAGCAAGAGATTTATTTTTGTTTATATATAAGCATGAATATTACTCTAACAGTTAAAAAACATTCAGATTATCTTACTTGTGATAATGTTTTTGAAAGAATTAGATGTCATTTCTGATCTCTCTAAATGGTTTCTCCATTTAGATTAATAGCTCAGAGTCAGAGTCCTGGTTATGTAGAACAAAAAGCAACAGCCACAGTAGGAGAGAGGGAAGAGTCATGAAATCCTTATCACCAGAGGTAACCTTTGATGGGAAAAAGGAATTTATTTAAAAAAATTATAGTGTAGCCTCAAACTTCCCTACATATGAGTAGGTCAGGCATTCCATTCACATACTTGTTTTTCAAGAAGCAAGTCAAACCAATAGATGGACAGAAGATATGGTTCATACCAGGGGTGGGCCAGCTTTTTTTGTAAGAGGGCTGATAGCAAGTATTTTAGCTTTGTGGGCCGTGTGGTCTCTGTCGCAGCGGCTCATCTCTGCTGTCACAGTGCAAAATCAGCTGTAGACATGTGTAAATGAATGGACATGGCTGTTCCAGTAAAACTTCATCTTCAAAAGCAGGCAACATGTCTTATTTGGCTGGAAGGTCATAGGTTGCCGGCCTTTGGTTTATTCTTGAAATAAATGACGAAATCCTTTAACTGGATTTGATGATTGTTCAAGTCTGTGACACTCAGCCAGGAGAGCTGCGTTTGTGATACTGGATCATTACTTCCCGTTAGCCTTGCATTACAGACCTCAAGTGTACCCCTAGTCCAGTCTCACAGTAAAATTCAGTTCTTAAATTAACTTTACTTCTCCCCTGCATGTTTTCATCCCACCCAGACCCCCCGTAGTGCAGCTGCAGAGAGAGTACATGCCTCCCAGCATGGCGGGGAGGGGCAGCTAAGCCAGCAGCATCTGCTACCAAGGAGAGGTCAGCCCGGGACATAAATTGGCACATATCTGTTGTCCATTTCAGCAGATTCTAAATGAAGCAGAGGAAATAGTTAAAGGTGGAATTTTATGATGCATTTGTAATAGATGCAAACAGTTTGTCTTGTTTGTACATTTAAAAACAATTTCTCATGATAGATTCATATTTTGCTTATTAGACTTCCTTAAAGGAAGCATATACCTTCTATCCTCATTACTCCTGGATTCTGTTTTTGAGAATTTGCCTACTTGCTAAAATTTAACCCCAAAAGCAACACCAAAGCAATACTTGTGGATGTTAGCAGAGCAGCAATAAATTTCATTTGCTTGATGAGCACATTCTAACCTAGCCAGAACAAAGTGATGCTCTGCTTTCTTGTTTTAGTTTTCGTGCTGTAAACAGGTGTACTTCTGCAGTCTACTTAGTGCCATGTTTTTTTGCATTTTGAGCTGTTTTGTTGGTTATTTTGCTGCTTAAAATGACTCTCAAGCATCGTGCTTCTAAATCCAGGAAAGCTGTGATGTGCCTTAGGAAGAAAATACGTGTGTTAGATAACCTTCATTCACGCATGAGTTGTAGTTCTGTTGTCTGTGAGTTCAGTGTTAATGAATCAACACTATATATATAATACAGGGTGTCTTTTAACAGAAACACATGTAAAACAAGGTTTTGTATTTATTGGTTGGAAAATGTTGTGACCAGAGGCCCACAGGAACCTCACCCTGTATTTCCCATAGGAACCATGGTTCCATATCTGATAGTTCAGGGTTCACAGTCATCTTACAGAACATAACCACCATGGATAATGAGGACTGACTGTATTTCTTTGAGTGCAGTTATGAAGGAGAATATTCGGAGTGGTTTAAATGAATTCCATTGCCAACAAAAGATGTCTCTAACTATCCTTACGTTGTCTGGGTTCTCACGCTGTTCCTTTCTTCTCCCAAGAATTCTCCCTGAATCTTGTCATTTCTTCAAAGTTCTTTTAAATGAAGTCTTTCCTTTCACCACTAGCAGTAATTTTTGTCTTCTTTTCCTGGAGAATTTTGCCATTAATATTGGTTTGGTATCAGCCTCTCTCTGACTCTGTTTTGTTTCATCCTATATCACGCAGGCTCGGACCCACATGAGTCTTTGAGTTGCTTCAGGGAAATGTAGCATTGCTCACATTTATTGCTTATCTTTTTTCCTTCTCCCTCTCTTCTGATTCTCCTTCTGTCCACAATCTTTCTCTAATTTCTCTACTAATAATAATTTCCCTCTTCTATTGTCCTACTATTCCTGCTTTCTTTATTTTTATTCCCAGGTTTCTCAAAAAAATAGTCCGCACTCTTTGACTGTATTTAGTCATTTCCAACATCTTTTTAACTTAGTGCAATGCATCTTTATGCATAATAAATGCCTAGTTATTTATTAAAATGTAGAAATGCATGTACTTTTAAAATTAATAGGTCCTAGCTTAATTGAATTTATGTCTAAGAGTATCTTGATTTGAATCTCAGTTCTGCTGCTGCTTAATGTTACTTAATGAGGCACATAAGCTCTCAGTCTCTTCTTTAGATGCAATGTCATTATTTACCTATAGGGCTTTATGATTTCTGAATGAAATAATGTGTATATACTTGTTTAATGTATTTGTTAAATTTTGAGTTGGTGTTGCAGTATGCTATTTAAGCAAATCAGTAACTCATGTAAATTCATAATTTTGCTTTAATTAGTTCAAGGCTTTCCCATTTAAAACATGATTTCCAAGGTCTGTCTGAGTTCACGTATGCTCTTTTTGATTTTTTAAAGGAAAAATTGAGGCTTCTGAAATTGTTCAGTCCCTCCAAATACTTGGTCTAACTATTTCTGAACAGCAGGCAGAGTTGATTCTTCAAAGGTAAGCTCTTCATTTTATTGATAATTTTTTTAACTCTAATTTTAATATCGTGCATTAGAGATCTGTGTTGTAAGTGTGCCTTAAAGCAACTTCCTGCACCTTACTGTTCTCATTACATGTGTTCAGTACCCTTCTTCCCTTTGTCTTCCCTTTTGTTTTGGATGTACACCTACATCTAAAGGGCGGGAACTGGAAATGTAATCTCAAACTGGAGTCTGTCCCAAGGCCTTAGGGGAAGTGGAATGGTAGTAAGGTATTAAATCTATGGAGAAGGAACCTCAGAGTTTTATGCTGCCATTTTCTCCACTTGGTTTCTGGAACTCATTATGTCAAGAATCAGATGAATGATGTTCATCACATTATTTAATTCGTATGTGACTGGACACAGGAGAAATTCCAAAGCTTTCCTAGCTGACTTAAACTTTCAAATTTTTAAAAGAAACACCAATTTAAACTTACAGGAAACACCAATTTGAATATAATTGGTCAGGATAATCAGCTCAGCTATTATTATGGCTTAATGTTTTATTTCCCAGGATAGAGCAATAATCTCTAAACTGTAAGTATCCTTGAAGACTCTTTTGTTAAAAACACACTACAGGGGCTAATATTTTTAAGAAAACAGAAAACAAAAGAGGGCAGTTACGTTATTTTCTTGTGAATATTTTTAGTCTTCAACATTATCTAAAAGGTTTCTTCTCAGTGGCTTTATTATTGAATTTATCTACTTTTATATCTGCCATCAGTAGCATTTTCCTCCTATTTGCTCAAAATTTCTTTTATAAGCAATCCTTCAGTAGGAAAGCCTCAAGTCTCAGAGCTGATCACGGTGTTACTTTTGTTAACACTGCATGAGAAAAGCTTTCCTAAGGAACTGAAAGTAAAAAAATGAAAAGGCAATAAAGAGCATTTGGACGGTGGGATATGGGGCATGTATTCTACTTATAAACTCATATTCTTCCAAGAAAGTGAGGGCTTTTCTCTAAATCTTAGGCCAGAGATCATATATATGCCTGTATCCCTTTTGATAGCTTTAGGAATGATACAAATTCCAAACCCAAGCTCCAGAATAGACCATTGGTCATGCAAAGGGATGAATTTTTAAAGGTAGCTATATAATTGTGTTTATATGTATTCTATGACAGCTTTATTGATATACAATTCACATACCATAAAATTCACTCTTTTAAAGTGTATAATTCAGTGGTTTTTAGCATATTCACAGAGTTGTGCATTCATTACCATTATTTAATTTTGGAACATTTTAATCACCCAAAAAAGTAACCCTATCCCCATTATCAGTCATTCTTTCCTCCTCCGCTGTGTGCCACCATCAACCACTGATCTACCTTCTGTCTCTATGGATTTGTCTGTTCTGGACAGTTCGTAAAAAATGGTATCATACAACCTGTGGCCTTTTGTGTCTGGCTTTTTTCACTTAGCACATTTTCAGGGTTCATCCACATTGTAGCATGTCTCAGTACTTCATTTCTTTTTTAGACCAAGTGATATCCCATTATAAGTACATATCACATTTTGTTTATCCATTCATCAAAGATGGGCATTTGGGTTGTTTCCAGTTTTTGGCTATTCTGAATAATGTTGCTATGAACTTTCATGTACAAGTTTTCATGAGAACATATGTTTTCAAATGGAATTACTAGTACGATGTGTTCTTTCAAATGTAACAGCAATAATAAATAGTATATACACAGCAGTCATAGTAATATAACTCCTTTCAGGTTCCCAGACCCAATGGCACTGTGTGTAAGCATGTGGGAGGGGGTCTTTCCACACATAACACCAAGCAATTCTTGAACACCTGCAGTGTGTTGGAGAAGTCAACTCAATTCTGATGCTATCTACCTGGAGACGGCACCAGATTCCCCAGGGTAAGGGCTCCATCCTAAAACACTGCCTTCCATGCCCCACTCCAGATGCCAGTCATAAGCCCTAGGCGATTAACCTGTGCTTCTGATCTACTGGCTACAGACTGGGGGGTTCCAATTGTTGTTGGGCAGCTGCATCTAGGGAGGTCTCTCCCTGCACACCAGGTGAAACCTCAACCTGGACGGGGGAGAGTTCTTGACTCTGAATGAGAAAGAATTCTCAAGCAGGTCAGAAGAGTATAGGTAAGGAAGGAATTCATCAAAGCAAGAGCAACAGAATAGCAGCTGCCTTGAAGGGAGAAGAGAGCAAGAAAGCTGAAGTAGGACAGAGAGAGTGAAGGCTTGTGCTAAAGTCTAGAAAATAGAATGAAATAACAAAGTAATGAAGATGCTTACTATTGGAAGAGTGCAAAGACAAAATGCAATTAAGTTGAGCAGTGAGAAAGCTTTATTTAAAGGTACGCACTTAAAGAAAAAGTGTGGGCATCCTCAGAGAGGAGGTTTGCCTAAAAGACTGGGGGTTCCCTCTTTTAAGCATTTTCAGGAATGTGACAAAGGGCCAGGAGGAATAGACTGGTCAAGTGGTCTCAAGATGCCTATTTCTGGTGAGAGACACTGTGTCTCCTCTCCTCTAACATCAGTCCTCCAGCTAATTCTGGAAAATAAACTTAACCCAAGAAATTTATTGATCCAGTTCCTCCCGAGGATGATGGCTTCTCTCTGGGAATATATGTCAGTTAAGGCTGTTTGCCTTTCTTCAAAGTGGGTTGAGTTATTTTCTGTTTACCAAAGAGTACATTAGGAATCTTATCTCTTAACTTGCTGTTTTTTTAAAAAATGTAATCTTAGCCATAAGATGGAATCTCTCTTGTTCTAACTCTACTGTTTATATCTCAGCTTGTTTGGAAAGTTAATCATGATGCTTGTCTCAGGTCCCTGCCCTATATCACAATGACCTCCCCCGTAGGTTTGATTAATTTGCTCACAGAACTGAGGAAAGCACTTAGGTTTACCAGTTTAATAAAGGATACCATAGAGAATACAAGTTAACAGCCAGATGAAAAGATACATGGGACAGGGTCACAAATAAAGGAGCTTCTATCCTTGTGGAGCTTGGGACCTGGCTCGGTGGCACGTGGAAGCATTCTGGTTCCCCAAGCATAGAAGCTCTCTCTCCAACAGATAAGCAGGATCCAAGAGAGCAGAGAGTGATAAACTCTTCTGCAGGGTTTTTGTGAGGGCTTTGTTGCATAGTCATGATTGACTAAATTATTGGCCATTGGCTGATTCAACCTCCAGTGCCCTACTTTTGAGTGGAGTCCAAAAGTCTCTCATTGACATGACAAAACACCCATTTCACATTTAAGACTCTGCAGTGTGTTCCGAATCTGTGGATGAAGACCAGATATACCTGGGAAATAAATAATTGGTCATATGAATGACCAAATGTGTATTTCTTATAACTCATTATATTGCAACTATATTGTCTGATAACTGTGTTTAACGTTTTGAAGAACTGCCAGATTGTTCTCCAGAGTGGCTGCACCATTTTATAATCCCAGCAGCAATGTATAAGGGTTTCAGTTTCTCCACATCCTTCCCAACACTTTTTCTGTTTTGATTTTTAACCACTTTAGTGGATGTGAAGTGGTATCATCATGGCTGTAGTTTATATTTCCCTGATAACTAATGAATTGCATATTCTTTTGTATTTTGGAGGTTTATACTTACACGTTTTCAGTAAAATATAGAAGGTAGATCAGTGGTTGCTGGAGGATATCACTGATTCAGGGGAGGAGTAATGGATGACTGATAATGAGGACAGGGTTATTTTTTGGGGTAATGAAAATGTTTGAAAATTTCTTCTTCAGTAAATACTAGAATATATTTTATTAGAAAAACCTCAGTTTTCCCTCCTATGTGTTTTTACTATTCACAGAACACTTCAGACACTTCTGGTCACCAAACGCATGGGTTTTTTTTCCCCACAATGCATTTCTGCAACACCAGCTGGGTGTTCTACAAACTTAATTCTAACGCTATCTGCCTGGACAGAGTGTCAGATACATCAGGATAAGGGGTCAGTCCCACAAGACTGCTCCCTGCTCTAGATGCCAATCGCAAGTAGTAGGTCCCCAGGTTACCTACAACTTCTGACTTGGCTAGATATCAAGTTCTTATGACTGCCTCCCCTTTTGATTAATTTACTAGAGTAGCTCACATAACTCAGGGAAACATGTTTACTAGCTTATTAAAGGATTTGATAAAGGATGCAGTTGAACAGCCAGATGAAGAGATATGTAGGGTGAGGTCTGAGAGGATCCCAAGTGCAAGACTTCTGTCCCTGTGGAGTTGGGGTGTGTCACCCTTCTGGTGTGGACGTGTTCACCAACCTGGAAGCTGAAAATCATGCAATTGGGATTTTTATGGAGGCTTCTGCATGTTGGCGTGATCAGTTATTAACTCCATTTCCAGCCCCTCTCCTTTCTCTGGAGAAGTGCTGGAGGGGAAAGACAGGGCTGAAAAATCCGTTTCTAATCATGGCTTGGTATTTCTGGTGACCAGCTCCCATCTCGAAGCCATCCAGGAGACCACCCAGAGTCACCCCATTAGAACAAAAGATGCTCTTGTAGTGCACTTTATCACTTGGGAATTTAGAAGGGTTTTAGGAGCTCTGTACCAGGAACTGGGGGCAGAGACAAATGTATGCATCTTTTATTATCTGCCAATGTTTTAAAAGGCAGAATGTGATTAGGGTTTTTAGTAGTGAAAATCATGGACCTTCCCTTGAGTGCTTAACCATCAGTGTGATTCATATACCTCCAAATGTCAGCTTCTGTTCTGCCGTCTCGCTGTCTCTTAGGGTCTAAAACCTGAATTTATGGAGAGAATCTGAAAGGTGCTGATTGAAAGAGCTCCCTGCACTTTCATCGAGTATGACATAGGAGTCACCAGGTTGGCCTAGAGCCTCCTAGTCCTACTCTTTCAGTGGAAGATATGGGTGGGGAGTAGCTGAAATAGATGGTTTCTCTGGAATATATGTACCACATACATCATTATCTTGTGCTCTCGAGTAAAAAAATCTTTTTTTCTTGTAGGCTTTCATTCCCA